TGGGGGGGGTAAAAAAAAAAAAAAAAAAAAAGAGGAAGGAGCCATTAAAGCCAGGAGAGTAGGATGTGAATCCAGTTATTGGTTGTGGGGCCTGAGATTTCAATTCTCAGAGCCTTTGTTTCCTTTTCCATAAAAATGGGTGGGTGCTTCCCTCTGTTTGATGGGAAAAATTCAATGAAATGGAACAGGTGAAACTAAAAATTCAGATTATATGTGGCTTATTGGTTAAAAGTACTGAGGAACTGTGGAAAGTGGGCCAACTGGTTCTGTGAGCAAAGATGAACTGTCTCTGTTCCTTTGCCCATATGCCAGCTGTGTGAAGATATTCACTGCTATCGGGCCCCTATCGAGGCCCACAGTGTCCCAACTCACATCTGTCACATGCATGGGCTGCCGATGACTCGCTGCTGAACCATTTTCTGAAACAGAATCCTTAGTTAGCAGGAGCTGCCTTCCCTGGAGATGCTCGGAAATTCACAGCCCCTTCCTGTGGGTCGCGCATGGCTAACATCTGATGAAAGTGGGACGTGAAGCCCAGCCGTGGGGAAAACAGGCCACCGGTAGGCAGCACATGCTCGGTACTTCACCCAAGCACGGGGCTCTTCTCCAGACAGGCCGAGGCTAGACTTTTCAGAAAACCAGACCTGTCTGTCTCCCCATTCTTGGTCCGTATCCTACAGTGCCTTGCTGCTTTTCTTGCAAGTCTATCCGCAGTGTTTGATTTGCCCAAGAATATGGGGCTCCCCATCTCAGGCTTTGATTTCCATTCTGAGAGTCATGCAATCGTGTCTTTTCTCGGTATTTCTGAAGACAATGGGACCAATTCATAGCCTTATGTTAAGTCTTCCAAGTAAATGGGAGATGGCAGAAAATGACTTTATTACTAGCTTGCATATAAAACTGATAAATACAATTGTAGGTGACATTATACTCAAACAGGTTTTCTGGCTTATTGTACTATCAAAATAGTATCAATGGATCAATGTCAAGCTTCAGCGTTGTGGAATATTTTTGGATTCCACAAAAATGAACGCATTCCTCCATCTTATGCTACATGGTGTTGTATTTCTATTTCTCTATTAAGAACCCTACTTGAAATGTTCTTCTTCACAATTGAAACCTCCTGGCTTCTCACACAGCGCCTGGCTAGCTAGGAAGTAGAAAGGAAGATGGAAAGAATAGTTTGTGGATTGAATGATAGAAAACGTACTTAACCTCCTTTCTGGGCGGAAGAGTATCCCTTCTCCAATGCACTTCCCATGGCATTAGCGAGGACAAAAACAAAGAATAGAGACCCAGAAATTAGGGTAGATTTAGCACAAAGACTGTGGAAGACAGAACTCTAGGATGGCCCCCTTGGCATACACAGCTGGCACAAAAACCTCCCCTTGAATATGGGCAAATTTGGGAATAAAAGGGGCTATTGATTAGATGAATCTATTAATGCTGATGGGAGGAAGCAATGTTTTATTATAGGAATCAATGCGCTTAGAGGAGGAAATGGGAGAGAGAGATCTTCTGGCTTTGAAGGCATAGCTGTCATGTATGTAACAGGCCTAGGCCAGGCTGTTGTATGAGACCATGGCCGTGACCAGTAGCATCTGGAATGCCTCAGCTGATGTCCTGCTAGAGAACAGACACCTAAATCCTACAATGACAATGATCTACATTTTTCCAACAACCTGTGAGCACAGACCAGAGCTCCAGATATGAAAGACTGCTGGCTGAAGCTGATTGTTGCAGGGGAGACTAAAACAGAGAGGGAAGGGTATGCTCAGACCCCTGTTCCACACAGCCTGAGATCATAGATGTACAAGGAGTGATCAACATTTACACAGAAAATTTAAATTATAAAAATTACTATGATAGAAGACATATTGCCATCACCCTCCTAAAAATAGTCCCCCCCAACTTCAAACAACACTTGTTCTGTCATTACTGCCACTTCTGAAGCAGTTCTTGAAGTCCTTTCCTGTATAAGGCATGATCAAAAATACGGTGAACATTTCTGGCACATACCATCCAGAGGAAAAGCAAGCTCAATGAACCAGTGTGCTACATCCTCATTATCCATCGCATTCAACAGGCCCTAGCCTCTGTGACTTCTGACTCTTTCCCAGAGTCAGAGTAGCCATGAAACAAATATTTTAAATGGATTCTGGACACCAAGGCAGCCATGAGAATGCAACTAAAGACACAAAAGAGGACTTGCAAAACTGCTTCAGAAAGTGGCAAAACTGAAGGGATAAGTGTGTTTGAAATGAGCGGAAGTATCTTGAAGGGGTTGAATAGCAAAATGTCTTATACTGGCAGAAATCTTTGTTAATTTAAGCATTAACCATAGTTTGTAATCACACTAAATACTTTGATTAAACTGCTAAGTTTGAAGCAATTTGTTCCGTGACGGGTGATCATACAAAGACAATCTCTTTAGCAACCTCTTCATCTTGACTTATTCTCTCTTGAAAATGATAAAATGCACAGCTTTTTGTTATCCAGGAAATACATGTTCACCATTTAATAACTGGAGTCTTCACTTAAGATTATTCAGAGGTGACAAGTGTCCACATGTTAGGTTCTGTCTTTCCAAAATTTTCCAATCCTGGAAGCCAGACTATCACACTGAGGATCAGAATAGCTGTGGTCTTCACTCACAGTCCAGGTAAAGAGCTGTTTCCTATTATGGAATCTACTGCCTCGAGTATGACAAGTTCAGCTGGGAGTTGCCAATCAAAGTTATGCTCTTCGTTTAGTGGTGTTTTGGTGTGAAGGGAAAAGCAATAAAATCTAAGCAGATATGTCATATCACTTACTTATGTGTGTGTGTAACAAACCACCCTGAAACTTGGTGTTTTACAGAGCAATATACTAGTACCAGTGGTTCTATGGGTTATATGGGCTCAGCTGGGTGGGTGCTGCTTGGGGTTCACCTGTTTGTAGTCTGATGGTGACTGGTGGAGGACTTCTGTAATTACTTGTTGGTGCCCAAATTAGGATGGCATTAGCAACTGGGAACTGGGCAGTCAGTCTCCCTCCCCCACCCCAACATGTGGCCAACTTGAGCTGATTTAGGATTATTGGCTGGACTTTCTTGTACTGGCTGGTTTGTCTCAGAATATTCCAGGACTAAAACAACAAATGTGAATGTTACTTAGAGAAATAATTTCTACTTTCTATTGTTTCAACAGGCCAGCCCAGGCATGGAGTGGGGAAGGACCACCTAAAGGGCTAAGTAATAGGCGGTTTGGTTCACTGGGGTACGTCTTTGGAGACTAATTACCATTTCTGAGTGTTCTTTGACAATAAAATGGACAGAACACTGGCTTAATGGATCTTCGGCCATACTTAAAAAGGGTGATTAACACAGGTGTAAGCTTTCACGATATTTACGTCCATTACACAAATGTAAGTTGTCATTATTAAGTCCTTGGGTCTGCTATGTAATTTTAACTATTTTGGCTCAAGGCATTTGGCAATTTTCAATACAACCTTTTGATCATGCATGTGCCGATGAAATGATCTTACACAGAACACCTTGTTCCGCATGTGGAATGCAGGCGTGTGTACTCTGCTGTTGCTTCTGAATTTGAAGACACTCAACTCTGTGAAAAGATACACTTAGAATGAAGTGTGGGTTGGGGTTAGCTTGAACAACCATATTCTATGAAAGAATAAACCCTGGCCCAATTACCTAACCTTTTGGACAACTTGTCAACCACTAAAGAATGTTGCTGAGACATTTAGCCTTGGATGCTAAAAGATGCATAGAGCATTCAAAAGAAAATGCATGGCTGATTCTATTTCCCCTCCTCTTAATTTGGAAATTCTATCTTTAGTAGCAATTTACATTTTCCACACAATTAAAGACTATACCTAGTTCTGATTTGCACTTCAAGTATCCAATTCAGCAGTGATTTACATTTTTTCCTCTATTTATCTGTTTATCTTCTCAGCAAGAAAACTAGGTTTGTAGCATTGGAATCATCACTTAAAATCCAGGTAATGGTAGGCAAAATTGATTAACTATTTCGGAGGATCAGTTTCCTAGTGTGCTAAATCAGAATGAGATTTTTAGGAAAAGAACTGTGTATCTTAGAAGTTGTGAGCATAGCTAGGCACATAGTAGACACTCAACAGAGTATATATTTTGTTTAATACACTTTTCGGGGACCCATTCGTGGGCTCTGTAAGTAGGAATACACTACTGACAATAGAATTTTATTTAAATTATTGAACCACATGATCATCAAGGTCAATACCTCTGAAATCTAAGAGATTACATGCACCTCTAAGCATAAATATTCAAGTAAATCTGAATCATAAACTAATGTAAATAATGAAATGATAAGAAATATACACTATGGTTTGATCTTCATCCCTGTTTCTGACTTAGCACTCATAAACCCTTGGATTTTCCTATGTACTATGAGTAATAAGGGTGTGAAGAAAGACTTTGATTATTTAATACAAGCCTTTACTTTTGCATGAATGAGGTAGCTTCTCGGAAGCTTCTACACACCCAAAGGATGGTGGGTTGTTGCCGAGGAAGCCAACCTTGTTGCTAGGAAGTCAAAACTTTCAGCCCTGTCCCCCCTTGCACTACCTTGGACTTCCGGGAAGGAGAGAGGTGCTAAAGTTTGTTTTTCACTCATGCCCAGCAATTTCATAGATAAAGTCTCCATTATGACCCAAAGGACAAACTTCAGAGCACTTCTGGTTGTAGGCACCCAGAAGTGCTGGGAAGATGGCCTGCCTGGACAGCACATGAAAACTCGGTGACTCTTCCCCTGACCTTGTCCCCAGCATCATCTCCATGTGGCTGCCACTGAGCTATATGTTTCTGTAATGAACCGGTAGTCAAGTCAGGAAGCTAATTTCCTTGGTCCTGTGGGCTGTTCCAGCAAGCACCAAA